GGCAGAAACCCTGGGCCAGATGTCCAGGGCTGAATTCTGAAACTGCAGTGTGACCTTGGGCAAATGCTGTAACCTCTCTGTTGCCTCAGTTTTCCTGTGTACAGAGTGAGGACAGCAAAGCAGCTGCCTCCTCAGATGGTGTAAGGATGCCAGCATCTGTAGAGCACAAGCTGGCCTGTCACCATCTCACGTGCTGCCTTGCGTAGTTCAGAGGACGTGTGGTGTGCTCCTGTGAGGAGGCAGGGGTGCTCGGCATGGGGATGTGGCGGGCATGCCCTTTAGGCCCCCCGCAGGAGGCTTACATCCCACCATGAGATGAACAGATTGTGCCAGCCTGCGGGGTGGGCCAGGGCTGCTGTGAGGGCAGGCCCTGTGAGGCGATGACACTGGACCCAGAGCCCCCAGAAGCATGGGCATTAGGATCCCGGGAAGGAGTGCTCCAGCCAGGGGGCACCGTCAGGGCAGAGGCTCTGAGGTGGAGTGTGAGGAGCAATGAAAAGCTCTGTGGTGGGAGAGGGGGTGGGGCTGGGGCTGGGGGTGGAGGTGAGGTTCTGGGAGCTGCCTGGCCTTGTGGTAGAGGCCTAAGGGCTGGGGAGGGCTGCTGGGGTTCAATCTAATGAGATGCAAAACCAGGTTGTGAGCAGGGCACGGATGCATTTTAGAAGGGCTATTCTGGAGAGAAATACATTTTGTTGGGTTGTCAGAAAAGTCATGATGTATTTTCTTCTATGCAAAAATAGGTCTTGACTTTTCCGACAACCCAATATGTTTGTGTGTGTATGTATATACACAATGCAATACAAAGGGACTTCAAAAAGCTCATGGAAAAATGAAGTTAATGTTGGGAGTTTATTCTGGCACAAAAGAAATCGAAATCCATACACTTTTTAAAATAATACACATTTTCTGTGAACTTTCTGAAGACTCCATTGTAGCCATGTCCTTACATGTTCAATAATAAAATTAGAACATTCTGCAAGTACAGTTTGATACGAGACAAAGGAACAGGGGCCCAGCATTTGCTGTGGTGGTTAAGACCCTCAACTCCCACGTGGCCAACCATGGTTTGAGTCGGACCCGGCCACTTGAAAATGCCAGGCATGTGTGCTTGTGTGACCAAAATACCAAGAGGAAAATGGAGAAGGGTTACTTCTCACTTTCCCTGTATGTGTCTCTGTCTCTCTCTCCAGTGAGTTGACATGCTTTATAGCAAAATATCTCAAAAAAAAAAAGAAAAGAAAAGAAAAGAGAAAAAGGAAAGGAAGTTGACACTGATAGGTATTTAGCTCTGTGTAGATGCTCACAGAGGCACAGGACAAGCAGCCCAAATCCTTGTGATGAGGAGTGGGCCAGGAATAGGGGCCTTCCCTGGCATGGTAGGTGGGCCAGGCCCCCTGACACGGTGCTGCCCCTGGTGCTCATACAGCACCCGGAAGGACACTGACAATTAGGGCCCTGGTTACTAATGGGGTAATCTGAGATCCCAGAATAGCATGACTGTAATTTAAAAAGACTGGCACAGGGGGACCACCAGGTGGCGTAATGGTCACATTGCTGGACTCGCATGTATACTGTCTTGGGTTCCAGACCTGGTGGCTTAAAACTCATGCCAGGCACATGTGCATGCGTGCCCAAGATCCCAAGAGGAGAAGGGAATGCAGTGACTATCCCTGTAGGAGGTGACTTCTCACTTTCTGTCTCTCTGTCCAGCAAGCACACATGCCCTATAGCAAAACTCTCTCTGGGGAAAAAAAAAAAAAAAAGAGCGACAGAGGAGTACCCAATTCATTCCTGGGATTGTCTCTTATCAAGAGAACCTGCTGGATGACAACAGGGAATGCAAACATACAGAACACAGTCATTTCGGCCCAAAACGTTCCAATCAATCGAGGAGGGAAAGGAAAGCTGAGGACTTAGATGTGTTTCAACCCTCGGTGGCAAAGGACAGCAGCCACACTATTTGGGCAGGAGCGGGTTGGAAGTGGAGCCTGAGTTGTGCCTTAGCCTAGTTGGCACACGGGTTTATGAAGGAAGCGAAATTCTAATTAGCCCCCAGAATTGTCTCAGACCCAGCCAGGGCCAGGGCCCAGCCTGTTTCAGGGAAGTCCATTTTCCCTTCAAAGAGGCGGGCTTCAGAGAGCCTACCACACTCCTTCTCAATAGGACGGGCTGTGTGGCGGGCATGGCTGCAGTCTGGGCCGGCGGGCGCGTGCAGGGGTTGGGGTGCACTCCCCGTTATTCCAGTTCTGCTGTCCAGCTGGGACCAGTCCTTCCGAGAATCTAGATGCCATCATGACCTGGTGATCTGACCAGGGCAGGCATGTGCTGGTGAGCTAGCTGGCCCATGCCCGGAGAGGACCTCCCATCATTCCTGCCCAACTATGGGCCACCTGGGGACCCCGGCCCCTACCTCAAGTTCCCGCCAACTGCCCAGGCAGCACTGAGGCTAGCCCTCGACTGGGGAGAGGAAGCGAAAAGAGAGAAAAGGGACGAGGCTGCTCCATGAAGGGACAGGGCAAGCTGAGCTGGGACGATCACGTGTATCCCTGCCATGCCCTTCTGCTAGGGCACCCACACCTTATCACACATCAAACCAACAACTCTCCCAAAGCCCCCAAACATCATAATGAGTAATGTCAGACACGTTTCATAAAAACTTCCCAAGAATCATAGAATTTGATTCATTTCCACATAGACATTAAGTAAGGCACTGCCTTAGAGGTAACACATGGCTTGCAGTTGGTTAGCCATACCCTTACTCAAGCCAGCACCCATGGGTGGCACGATGACCAGGTTACATTCCTAACTCTTTTTTTTTTTTTTTTAAGAATTATATTATTTAACTTAACTTTATTTGTTTATTTTAATTTGACCAGAGTGAGACAGAGCGAGAGAGAGGAAGGGAAAGTGAGAAAGCAAGCCACCAGGTCTGGGACTTGAATCACAGTTGGTCATGTGGGAGTCCAGTGCCCTTAACAACCATGCCACCTGTCGGCCCCTACATTCCTTTTTTTTTTTTGGAGAGGTTTTTCTATAGAGTGCGTGCACTTACCAGACAGACAGAGAGAAATCAACCCCAGAGGGGATGGTCACGCCGCAATCCCTTCTCCTCCATTCTCCTCTCGGGATCTTGGGCACGCACGCACACGCACCCGACGTGAGTTTTAAGCCACCAGGTCCGAGATGCGAACCGTGGTCGACTACGTGGGAGTCCAGCGACATAGCCATTATGCTAACTGCTGGTTCCCTACATTCCTAACTCTTAAAAGGAATTCCTGAACACAGAGTGCCCAGACTGAGAAGGAAGCGAGACACTTCCCGAATGGAACTCAATCTAGCGGCCTGGACTCTGCAGGAATTACTTCTGCATGTGGACACGCGTTCGCCCCAGTCTCTATTGAGCCTTCACATGGAAAACACAATCCTACCTCTAAGCACAATGAAGCCAAATGAAGCTGTCCATGAACTAATGTGCTGCTACAAAACTCACTGGAAAGCAGATAGTGGGGAATCTGGTCTGGCACTGCCCTTAGCCAGGCCTCTATGGACAGGCAGGAGGGGAATTACCTTCTGACCACCCTTGCCCTGAACTGGCCTCTGGATCGGAGAGAGGGCTCCTGTATCTAATGGAATCTATTCTCTCTCTCCTCCGTTTCTTCCCCAGACAGATGCTGAGCCAGCCCTCCTACCCACAGGCACTGTCTTCATCCACCCAGGCTGCAGGAAAAAGTGCCATAAACTGGGGGGCTTCTAAACAGCGGCAGTAATTTCTCACAGTTCTGGGGCCTAGGAAGTCCAAGGTCTAAGTGCTGGCAGATTCAGGTTCTGGAGAGGGCCTGTTTCCCAGTTCAAAAAAGGAGCCTTCTCCCTGTTTCCCTCCACGGTGGAAAGGGTATGTGGTCTCTCTTGGATGCCGTTGAGGACACTAACCCCAATCACGAGGGCACCAACCTCATGACCTAATCACTTCGCAAAGGCCCCACCTCCTAATGCTATCACTACAGGGGTTAGGACTTTACCAAAGGAATTTTGGGGACATGTGAACATTCAGACCACAGCGGGACATAAAACTCATGGTTTCCCTATATAATTACAGTTCCTGGGGTCTGTAGAGTACGGATGGGTGTCAGGACAGGGAGCTGTGGGAACACAAAAGAGGGACCCCTGACTGCTCTCTGTATGTCTGAGGAGTGTGTCTCTGAAAAGAGAAATGAAAATATAGACAAAAAGGATGAAGAGATGCTGCATGTGGCTGAGTGGGGCTGGAGCTGAGAGTGGCCTGAGATGACGCTGAAGAGTATTTTCAGGTGTAATCCTGAACCAAGTTGCTGAAGAGCTTGGACTCACTTGAGCATCCTTCTCTCTCTCTCTCTTTTATGTTTTAAGAGATTTTTGCTGTAGGGTACGTGCACTCGCTAGAGAGACAGAGAGACAGAAAGAAATTACTCCTCAGGAGGATGGCCATGCCACAAACCCTTCTCCTCCATTTTCCTCTCAGGATCTGGCATGCGTTTTAAGCTGCAAGGTCTGGGACTTGAACCACAGTTGACTACATTGGAGTCCTGCGACGTAACTGTTACACCATCTGCTGGTCCCAAGCATCCTTCTCTTAAAACTAGGATACAGGCAGCTGTCCTGATTACCTTAAAAGGTTTACTGGTACGGATGGAACATTTTAAAAATCATAATGCTGTATTATAAGTACAAAGAGGCAAAAGGAAGCTGTCCATGAATAACGTGCCTCCACGAAGCTCACCTGAGAGCTGGGAACGGGCAATCTGGCCCACCACGGCCCTGTAGGGAGGGCCCAGGGAGCACACCCTACTTGTGGGTCATAGGAAAAGTTATGATGTACTTATGCACAGAAAAACTATAGAAAAACACATTATGACTTTCCTGACAGCCCAATAACATAAGGAGTTACTACCCTGGAAATATTTAGTTTCTAGTACCCCTTAACTGATGTTTCTCTTTGGTAGCTGATGAAATCAAGGACTCAGATCTGAACTAAGAGGACACAATCTAGCTCAAAAAATGGTTCAGCTTCACGGTTTGAGAGTCCGTCAAAAAGGGAAAGACCGTGAATAGAAGCATGGAAACATTTTTGTTATTAAAGTAGTAAATGTTGAAAAATCTGCCCCAGTGACTATTCTAAACTTATTATTATTATTATTTTTCTGCCAAATACTTTGAGAAGTCTATATGCCCATGCCCCATGGCCTCATCGGCAATTCACTTCCTGAGTCGTGAGTTTCCATGCTGTCTCCTCCTGTTTTCCTGAAACGTTTGTTGTCATGGCTGCCAATGGCTTGTTGAGGGGACAGTGTTGTTTCCAGTGCAGATGACACAGCCAGGTGCCTGATGGGACTCTGCTCCAAACCCCCTCTCTGACTCTCTGGGTGGAGCTCAGCCTAAATCACAGTGCTCCACGGGGTCTGGACGTAGCTCCGACAGCTCGACCCACACTTCTGGGGAGTACCTACCGATTCCACGCAGATGACCCACAGTGGGCCTTTCTACTCCTCATGGTGCTCCTGGACTCTTGACCTGTCCTCTAGGCCACTGACTTGCCACTTCCCCTGAGTGTCCCATAGGCATCTCAGATGCCTTCTGTCCCAATTAACTCTATTTCTCCTTCCTCAGTGACTGCTCCTATATTTTCCACCCCCAAATGTCACAATGCTCAAGCCCAAACCTCCTAATAACCACTGAACTCCTTCTAAACGATCTCTTCTATCCTCTTCCATCCTCACTGCCTCTGTTTTCAGTGTAAGGTCCAATAAGGACCTGCTTCAGTCTCCTAATGAGTTTTCCAACCAGCATCAGCTCCTATAAAGGTTTCCCTCCTCACTACAGAGTGGTCATCCCAGGAGGATCCCTCCACTTGTCTCGGGATGACCATGCTCACACTGGATCGTGAGATCATCTGCTACCAACTATCTGTCCTAATGTGTGTCCCAGTGAATGTCCTAAGTTCCCCCTGGCCAGGAACCACAGATTACCCACAGTCAGCCTCCAGTAGATGGGGCAAATCCAGTCCAAGGCAACTGCTCAGTCCGTGTTCAGGAACTGAATGGAAGAGCCTGGGCGTGGTGCACACCTGCAGCTGCCACTGATTATGAACTCACTGTGGGCGGGGTCCCAGCTATCTTACTGGGTGCTGTGTGAGGTAAGAATGCAGCCAAGGGCATAGTGACAGCATTTGCAACAGCATAATGCACAAGGGTTGTCTAGGAGTGCAGCGATGGCTGAGTTAAGTCTGTCACTGGTGCCATCAGCAGTCACAGGTTACAACCCCCTCCCCAGAGCAAAGAAGTGTGTCTCAGAGAAGAAAAAACCCAGCCGAGGGTTGCAAGAGTCGCCCCATCCCCAGGCCATCAGCTCCTGAAGGGACAGCATGGAGGGAATCTGAACATCTGGGTGTTGTCAAGCAAGCAAAGCCTGGTCACCTGCCAGACACGGATTTTCTCTCTTAAAAGATCAACTCACTCACTATGGCTTCCCTCCTGGCCACTAGCCAGCATCACACTTTATTTATTACCGCCGGCATCTTTTTAACTTTTCCATTCTGGTGAACCAGGGAGGAAGTATTTTTGTGGGATCAATACCATTCTAGGTGTGAAATCTGGGGAAGGAAAACCTCACCAACTTATCAAAGGCTAGATAGAAAGTCAATGGCATGTCAGGGCCACCTGTACCTCCTTGCTGCCCGGGCAGCTCCACAGGCTCAAGTCAACTCCAGGCTCAGGGACAAAAAAAACCAATAGCAAGTCAATCTCTCAGGGGGGTTCACTTCTTCAGTGATAGAGAAGATGAATGAATTCCTGAAGGATGCTCCAGAAAGGAGGCAGGGAGGAGGGAAAGGAAATAAGTTTGACCATAATGCTTGGCCATCTTAAGCCTCATGCAAAATGCTTTCTGAAGTTTCAAACAGACAAGGAGTAAATTGGCCTTTTGAATGTTCCCCCAAAGAACAGTTTCTTATATTAAAAATGGCACTAATCACTTGTAATTTGTCACTCGCTGTAACTACGAATGGGCCTTTCTTAGTTGGATGTGCCTGTGAGCAGCCTCTACTTGTACATCCATCCAGCGGTTTTTAAAGAAACTTTCCTTACAGAATTGTATATCCTGTGACCATATATAAACATATTATGTGACATACATTAAACATATCGTATATGTGAAAATCTCACACATTTTTGTGAATAAGTTAAAGATCTCACTCCATTAAAATGTGTATGTGCTCACAGAACTTAATTTAGATCTGCCTGCCTCAATACTTCATCCCCTTCCAAAAGCTCCCTGGCATTACTAGCACAGGTTACCACTCAAGCTCTGCGGGTTGTAGGTACTTACAGAACTTCCCACCCAGCACCCAGCTGCTTCCCAACACCAATGCACAAGAAAGAACCTCAGCTCCAAGGCGGGGTAACACTGGTTCGCTGTGGTTCATGTAGAGCCCCCCACTGGATCTTAGGTGAATTCATCTAGCTCCTAAGTTCTGAAAATGACACTGTTACCAGGGTGACATCCAAACATAAAGTTAAAAGAGCCTGTGGATGGGGCCAGCAGATACAGTAGCCCTTAAGTCACTGGACTCCCACATAGCTGACTATGTTTGAGTCCTGGACCCAGTGGCTTGAAGCTCATGTTGGGTGTGTGTGCATGTGTGCCCAAGACCCTGGAAGGAGAATGGAGGGACCGCAGCATGGCCATCCCCCTGGGTAGGGGGAGTGATTTCTTACTTTCCCTCTCACTGTCTCTGTCTCGGGAGTGCACATACCTGAAGGCAAAAAGCTCTACAAAAAAGAAAAGAAAAAAAGAGAGAACCTGTATAGACAGCAAAGAAAAAGGAACAGTAGGCAGTTGAAAATTGCTTTTGATGTTGGAATAAACTATTTTTTTCATCATTTAGCATTTTTTTTTTGAGAGATTTTTGCTATAGGGCACGTGCGCTTGCCAGAAAGACAGAGACAGAGACAGAAAGCAAGAAATCACCCCGGGGGAGGATGGCCATGCCGCAATCCCTTCTCCTCCATTCTCCTCTTGGGATCTTGGGCATGCACGCACACGTACCCAGTGTGAGTTTAAGCTGCTGGGTCCAGGACTCGAACCACGGTCGACTACGTGGGAGTCCAGCAGCATAGCCATTACACTAACTGCTGGTCCCATCATTTAGCATTTTAAAAATTGGTTTACTTATTTATTCTCTGGGGGAGGGGCCAACAGGGTCTTCATGTCATGGTCCACCCCCAGTCTCCGCCAGCCTAGATTAGAGGCATGCATGTGGTATCTGGTATGTGCAGAGGGAGGTCTCAGGGACCTCAAACCTGAGACCACCCACGTGGGTCTAGCACTGCTGCTCTGCCACCCTCTGGCCCTTGTTCAGCATTTTGGACAGAGTTCCTGCCAAAGTCATGGGGACCCATTCTCTTCTTTAGTCTGCAATTCTCAAGAGAGCAAACTCTGTCTCCCAAATGCTTTTGATCCCCTCTTTTGACCCTGGGGTACACCTACTGGTGTTTGACACTCTTGGGGAGCTTTTCTCAACCCCAGGTCCTCCCTTGGGTGGACAGCAGGCATGAACACATTTGCATATTACGTACATGGTTTTGTCAAGATTTCAGCCTTTGATTGCAAGCTGAACTCCTTGCTCATCTCTACAAGGCAGAGGCGATTGTGCATACAAGTGGTGCACTTCGTGGCACTTTAGCAGAGCTCTGGGATGGCCCGAGAAGTAGCCTGGACCCAGGAAATAAATAAGGACACTTCCGTGGCAGGTTACAAAGAAACATGCGTAACCAGGAAACTTCAAAATCATTTCACGGTTTCTGAGTTTGGTGAGGCAAGCACGTGACACATTCTATAAGGTCTGTCAGTGACACTTTCACCTGGGCATTTCCCTTGGTCCATTCTCTGCAGTAAAGGTGGGCATGTTTCCCTTGCCCGGTTATAACTTACCCTTTCTAAAGACTTCAGGAGGTTTTGTCTTTCTTTGAGCTTCTGAATACTGATGACAATTTTGTGTCTTGCACCTTTGGTAACGTTCTGTAATTAAAAAGCAAGCTATTTTTAAAAAGGTATTTTTCAAGATCAGCTCAGAGACTCTCGGAGGGTACTCAGTACCTTATCGTCTTTCTTCCTACATGTTCGCAGACTAGTCAATGTCCATTTATCTTTCTCATTAGTACCCACAGTATAAACCTCTTCTTTCTAAACATGCTAGCTCCATCTGGCTACACATTTGCCTGTGTCTTTTGGATATGCCCTTTAGCTGAGAGAGGACAGGACAGCCAATTATCTTACCCAGCATGAAATTTCTCCATGGTCTTAAAAGATACTTTTTACATACATCCCTCTTTTTTTTTTCCAGGATTATTCACTGCAGCCCCTCTCAGTTTCCCTAAACTTTCCCTGTGTTAGTCCCCATCTTGAGATGTGAACCCAGGACAGTCCACACGCGGTGTCACAGAACACAGGGACTTTTTGTTTGAAGCTCTTCTTTTGTTCCTGCAAGGAAAACTAGAACTGAAAATAACTTAAATCCATATTCAGTCATCACTTCAGATGACTTTTTAGGATTCATAGAATTGTGGATTTTATCTTTTTTATTTTAAAGGAATTATTTATTTGGGGTTGGCAGGTGGCATGGTGGTTAAGGGCACTAGATTCTCACATGGCCAACCGTGGTTCAAGTGCTGGAGTCGGTGACTTGCTTTCTCACTTTCTCTCTCTCTCTCTCTCTCACTCTGTCCCTCTCTAGTCAAAATAAGTAAATTAATTTAAATAATGTAATGCTTAAAAAAAGATTTATTTAATCTTTTTTATTACTAATATTGTTCTAATTTGCTATTGGGCATGTGTGCTTACCAGAGAGAGACAGGGCAAGGGCAATGGAGAGTGAGAAAGTAAGCTGCTGGGTCTGGGACTCAAACCATGGTCAGCCATGTGTAAGTCCAGTGCCTTAACCTCCACACCACCTGTTGGTCCATGGATTTTATCTTAACTGGGTAGTGATGACAAGCCCAAGGACTTAGTGAAACACTTGTTGGTTACAGATATGGCAAATTCCCCAAGAGGCAGTCTTTTCTAAAATCAAGTTTCTAATTCCATCATCTGGTGACTTCTTACAAGCATTCCACAGAATTCCTCTTAAGGAAGGAAAGGATTGGCATATGGGCAAAATCATCTTTATTTAGAAAAATCAACATTCAAGGGACAAATGGAACTAGTCTTTGAAAACGGGGCAGAGGTTGATTTCTATTTACCTTTCACTTTGGGTTCAAGTGAACTGAATGACTGAAAAGTTAGTGCTGGCCTCCGGCTTTGCCCTTGGTGTCAATTATGTCTTGTTTTTTTTTTTTTTCCCTCAAGTCGAACAACTGATGACTTAGATTTTTTTTCCCTCAACTCAGACCCAAGCACAAAAATACTCTTAGAAACTGTTCTCATCAACCCCTAGGATCTCAAGGAGCAATCAAGACCCAAAAAAACAGTGGGAGAAATGTTAGGAAGTTGAAATTAGTGCCTTTCATTCTCTGAGAATGTGCAGTGACTCTGGGCTTTGTCTTGAGGCTCAATACTGGTATTCAGCCAGGCCCGCAGAGGTTAACCGAGGGTACTGAAGCAGCAACGGGAAACCAGCGATCTGCGGGAGGTATAGACCAGCTGCCCCAAATGGTATAATCCCCTCTTCCTGCAGGGGAAATATTATTAGCCTGTTTAGACCATCAATTCTTTCAAATCATTGCTCAAAGGAAGCTATGGTCAAAGTGAAACATGCAAATAGCATTTTAAACAAGGGAAACAAAGGCATCAGCCGGGTCAGTTTACTCGAGCACAGCATGCTAGCAAACACGCTTAGTTTCAGGGGTTCTGTTGACTGGCCTTTGGCATTTGCACTTGGGGAAAGATGCCTTAGAAGGAAAGAGGACTGGGGCCAGCAAGTGATGTGGTGCTTAAGTTGTTGGACTCCCACATGGTCAACTGAGGTTTGAATCCCAGACCTGGTGGCTTGTGTGTGCTCTCTCTCTCTCTCTCTCTCTTTCTGTCTCTCTGGTGAGTGCATATGCCCTCTAGCAAATTAAAACAACAACAATAATAATAAATAAAATTAAAAATAAAGAATTCTTTTAAAAAAGAAAGAGGACTTTTGTCCTTTTATGGCATGCAGAAGAGAAATGAAATCTGAGACCTGGGGAAATTTAATGATTGGTGATTAGAAGAAAAAAAATATTTTGTGCAATTTACTCCCATCTCAACTAAGAACAGCCTGAACATGATTCTGGAAAATCACTGGGGCAGGTCTGAGCCATGACTTGGTGCATCTACTTACCAGTCCAGTGGGATGGTTTGTAACCAGACTAGACAACAGACAGTGCATCTGTCACTCCCTAGACAGGCCCTGGTTGGGCAGAGAGAGGAGAGTGCAAAGAAAATAAAAGCCCAGGTTCTTTGAGGCCTTGGCCAAATGTTAGTTCTTCTAGATGGCTCTACTGATTCCTTTCTAGAGTCAGGAGCATGTCTAGCTTATACCTTTTCCTAACGCCCCATCTTCCCCGCATTACCCCATGGCATCTGCTTGTCTTCATCCTTACTGGACTCTGATAGTAACAACACAGCCCTGCTCCCCGGAGACTGCTGGCCAGTTCCTAACAGTCCTAGAGCAATGCAAGCTACTGGGTGTGTACAGGGATGGGACCAAACAAAGTCTACCCGGGACCTGAACATAGATTGGTTCCACCGGAGGAACCCTCTGAGGCAACGGCCAGCTCAAGCACATACCTGAGCCTCCAGCTGGCACTCAGTGAGGGCCATCATTTCCTCGTAGGTCATCTGGGAGAAAAGCGCGGCATACTTGTGCAGGCGGAGGCTCTTTAACCAGGCTGGGACATCTGTGGTGCAAGATGAGCGAGAGACGGGAGAAATGAAGGGAGCGAGGAGAGAGGGCAAAGATACGGGGGAAGGGAAAGGAAAAGAGGGCAATGAGCGGGAGGGGGGAGAAAAACATTTTTATATTTTTACTATTTTTAAAATTTGTCAACCAACTCTGGACAACTCGGCTACTGCCTCCCATATTCCACTCTAGAGCTCAGTTAGCTAACTCAGGGTTCATGAGCATTGGGGCATGCAGAGATTCCCCAGACTCGAATCCCAATTTTTCCCCTACATGGATAGTTTTCTGGGTGGAAGTCATCTATAGTTTCCATAAGATTCTCAAAGGGGTTCATGATACCCCTCACCCGCTCCCACCAAAAAAAAAAAAAAAAAAAAAAAGTGGAGGCACTGTGGTTCCCAGCCTGATCTGTCTCCTGCCTTCTACCCCAGTGAGAAAAAAGGGGCGTCCTGGACTCTAAAACTATCACTCTTGGAGGAGTGTGTCTGTTAACTGGTTCTCTCAGCTGTGGAATATATCTGGATGTGTCTTTAGCCTTTTCCCTCAACCTTGTCAGGAACTGAAAGCCTTTAATATTGACTAGACCACCAGATAATTGCATTCCACAGTGCATCTGAAATAAACTCCAAGTTTGGAATTCGAGGGTTAAAAAAATTAAACAGCAACTGTATTGAAAATACACAGAATTTTCACTTTGTTAAGTATAATCAAAATGAAGCACTTGCCAGTACTCTTTCAAGTCAAGAGTTGTCTGAGCTGTTGGGTTCTTTGAGAAGTCTCTAGAATCCTCCTCCTCCACTCTTTGCTCAGTTTACAGATGGCAAAATTGAGTCATTAAGCCTAGATCACAGAGCAATTATGTGGTGAAATGAGGACTAGAACCCTACTTGTATCAATTCTCATAAAATGAGAACCAAAGAGCCCATCAGTGGTAGGGCTGAATAACAATGACTGCAAAATACTCTGAAATGCTGAGGTATTGGCTAAATGTTACTCATGCTTTCTATAAGGAACTGTGCATCACTAACCATGGTGACTGTGGGGTACTATCGATTGCTAAGTGCTTTATTCTGAGGCACTGAGAGACCACACACATTCCAAAGTAAGTGGAAACTTCTAAGAAGTCTTCTTGGGAAAGGCTCCTGTACAATTTCAGAATAGGATGAGTTAGGCCTTCCTGAAGAGTTTATACCGGATGCAGTCCTGGGAAATGGAAGCTCCTTCTGTGTATATATTCCTTGAGGCAGACACACAGTAGTTTTAATGTTTAGAGGACATACTGAGATTACTGAAAAAGGCCTGGCCTCCTCTGAAATCAGGCCCTACCTCCTAGGTGAACCAAACCTAGGTATATGGGATGTGGTATGGAACGATGACCCAAAACACAAAGATTATTGGAAGGGATGGTGGGCCTGGTGAGGTTACTTTTTGATTGGCAGTAATGTGAAAGTCAATGGTGAATTAGGCTAGGACAGTCAATGGCATTTTCAGAACAGACTCAGTTACTCAGGCTAGAAATCACCTCCTTCGGTACTTGGAAACCCTTCATTCTGCTGTGACAAGCAGAGGGCTCCTCTGGGACCATTGCTAACCACAGACAAGGCTTCCCCGGGCAGATAGTGCTAACCCTTCAATCCTCCTTGACTCAACTTGAGGCTAGATCAAGAGTCCAGGACCTGCCAGCTCAGGAGCCTGGTCCTTTCTCTCCTACGACACCCTGGAGCTGTCTTACCACACGCCATCCTCCACCATGTTATTGTGTCTGTTGAAAATAAGCCAATGCTTCTGCGGAGTGAGCAGCAATGATTCTAACCCCAGGTCTGGCTTTTGGGCCCACTACACATTACTGCCTTGTCTCCAGGTTTCATGGTTGCTATTTACATCTTTGAAAAATTCTGTGTCACTGCTCAGCAAACTCAACGATCACGATTCAGAGATGTCTGGGTAACCCAAGCCACACTTGGGCACACTTGTCACACGAGTATGGAGCAATCACTTGGACCCCAATTTCACCAGGTGCCCTACAGAGTAACTGTGCAAAAATCTTCTGACAATAAAACAATCAGAATCCAGAGCTACTGAATCATGTGGCAAACTAGGTATTTTATAAAGCAGGGGAAAACATGGTGTTTTAAGAACCAGGAATCACGGGGTGCCAGTCTCAGGTCGGTGAGTCTCAGTTAAATCAGTGCTAGTTCCTTTCTGTAAAACAATTTTGACAACTAGAATTCCCTTGGATAGAGGGAAAGAAGAACCTGCCTCATTTATTCGGTAAAAATGCAGGTCTCTGTGAGTACTCTTCTTGGGAAAGGGTCCTGTACAACTTCAAACCAGGATGTGTTAGGCCTTCCTGAAGAGTGTTTACCAGGTGCAGTCCTGGAAAATGGCAGCTCCTTTTGGGTATATATTCCCTGAGGCAGACATAGTAGTGCTGCTTTGGAGCAAGGATCAGAGTACCTAGCTCAGTGCCATGTGCTTAAAGAGCTTTCCTTCCTGTAAGGAGAATTGATGAACAAAAAGGAGGAAATCCCATTTCTTAAGAACATAGCCTACTGACCTTTCACCTCCTGGCTGGCAGCAAGGCACCTTCCCTTGCCAAGGATTAAAACAAAACTCCATTAAAAGGAAAACAAACCAGAGAACTAAGAGCCTTGGCCCTCTCATTTTCCCTAAGCCAGGAATTCCAATGACTCAGAGTTCGATTCTGTACAATGCTGGCCAAAGATGACCTCTAACTAGGAGTGCAAGTCCTTTCCCATGCTCCAGACGCCACGCTGTTGGTTGCGCTGCTAAGAACCACCTAACACACCTCAGCTCTTCCTTTTTCATTCTGTAAAGCTGCGGCTATGGTCAGAGATACTAAGGTGTGGGGCGGCTATGGTCAGAGATACTAAGGTGTGGGGCAGATGCAGAGATGTTTCCTGGAGAAGCTGACGCATGACTGAAGGCAGGTGTGCATCCCAGGCCCTGCCCCTGGATGACACATTGCTAGTTGTCTGGTTTTATCTGGATTGTCTGGGAAGGATCTGCCCATGGAGGTTCCAAACTAGAAAGTCACTCTCTTCTGCAGTGTGAGAAAGATAAAGATGCCTTTGCTGTATGCTGGGCTGACTTCCTTGCCAAGTGTGGGAAGCCTGGTAGTTGCTCACTCAACATTTATCCAATGCCTGTGATGGGCCAGGCTCTTGTCCCCGTTATCAAAGGACTCTGAGTCCAGAGAGAAGGTGTGCACATACACAACTGCAATAGTGGCAGGACAAATGCTAAGACAACTTGAAGTTCTAGGGGAACACAGAGTAAGCAATTTGGTTGCCACAGGGGGTAAAGGATAGCTTCAAAGGAAAAGCAACTCGTGAGTCCAGTGCTCAGGTGAGGCTGAGGAAGCCATCTCATAAAGAGGAAACAGAGTAGAATCAAATCAGTCAAGAGGTCATTCAGGGGAGGGCAACCACTTGGGTGAATAGCAGGGCAAACAGAAAGGGGGGGGGTCAGATGGTTGAAATACGAAATGATGAAATAAGGAGAGTAGACTTCGTCTTATGACCGATGAGAAACTGTTGAAATCTGACCAGCAGGAGCACGGTCAGCTGAGGGTGTTAGAAAGATGATGTCTGTCATATGAAGGCTGAGCTGGAGGTCGGTGAGAGTGGAGACCAGGACCTGTGTTCAAGACCTTGAAGATGGTTTGGGAAGGTGACAAAGAAGAAATGGGTCTAAACTGACAGTACCTGATGATCAGGGAAGAACAGGGGGTGAGACTAAGAAGTTGAAGAAGGTGGCTCCTTTGGTTTCAGTTTGGTGGGACAGAAAACACAAAGGAGGAGCAACTTCAGGGTGAGAAGGGAGAGACAGTGAATTCCATTTTACATCAGCTGGGTCACCCTGGAGAGAAGTCAACTGGTCAAGATCTTGGAAGGAAGGTTTGTGCTGGAGAACCACTTGCTCGTCAGTAGCTGCTGGTGGCTGCTTTGGCATTGGAAGTGGTAAGATCACTCAAGCAAAGAGCATGAGGTGTGGCTAGAAGACGAGACCATGGTGGAGCTCAGGAGCTGCAGGCTTTTAGGGCAAGGGGTACCAGGAGCAGGCCGACAGGAGGTTTCCAGGAGGAGGCACCACCATCCATGTGCCTGACAGTGGCCTCCCATGCTACAGTTTCTACCCTCCGTGAAGCTACTTCTAGATCTTCCGCTGTCCACATTGGTTTACCTTCTCAGTTTTGGCAATACTGCTATACCCATCTGGTATGTGTTGTATATTTAACTTCTGGTGTTTACCAATGGTATCCAGTTTTAAGTCATGCTGGTCTCTCGTTCCCTTTAGAGTGTAGATAAATGTACCACAGAGAGGCTTTGTGGTGTCCACAACAGCCTGCACAGAAGCTGGGCTCCAAGTAGCACCTGGGCTGCTTCCGCCTGCAGGAATGGCTCCAAACACCAGACAGGTCAACAGGCCATGCAATGCCCAGCCAACATACAAGGAGGCTTCAAAGAGAGATAGATGGGGCCGATTTTTTGGGGGGGGAGGGGGAAGAGGAGAGGTTTTTGCTACAGGGCATGTGCACTTGACAGAAAGACAGAGAGACAGAAAGTGAGAAATCACCCCCAGGGAGGATGGCCACACCGCAATCCCTTCTCCTCCACTCCTCTCAGGATCTTGGGCACGCACGCACACGTGTCCACCAGGAGTTTAAGCCACCGGGTCCAGGACTCAAACCACAGTTGACTACATGGGAGCCCAGTGACATAGCCATTATGCCAAACGCTGGTCCCTAGATGGGGCCAGTATTGCTGAAGGGCCCAAAATGGGAAGCAACACAAGGAAGGAGAGCAGGGCATCCCTGGAAGAGGCAGACATGAACAGCCTTGCCTGCCACGAGAAGGCTCATGTGTGGTGGTCTGGTACCTGCAGATGGAAGGCCAGCTCTGTCACAGAAAGCCAGGCTACGCTCAGAAAGCTGTCTCTCTCCAGGATATGACCACATCCTTGGTCTCGGAAGAA